TCTATCTATCTATCTATCTATCTTACCAACAAGCCGGGATTTGGCCTGATGATTGTAGTACTCTAAGCACAAACACTACTTAGCCACTGCAAAAAGATGTCCTTCGGTTGCTTTAAAAAGAAGGTTCTCCGATTCCGGAAAAAGCGTGAGCGTATTTGCGTTTAAACTCTGCAGTGTACAAACTGTAAACCTTCCGTGTATGGAAAAGCATGCACTGCTTTGTGACATTAGGGAGATATTATAATGGGCTCATACATTTTGCAACGGATATGGACTGTGTTGTAAACTTAATGACGACCATGAATAAAAGGACAGATAAGATGGCATTTAAATGGGCGCTGGACGGTCTTAAAAATCTCATAATTACAAGCTTTGTTAAAACAGAGAGAGGCCCTTCCTCTGAGAATAAAACTTAACATAAATTAGATTTGCCACTTACTGCGAATAATTTTGAGCAAGTTGACAAAAAATCGGTTGAATTTACGAGTACATCGAACATCAGTGAGACAATGCGACACTACTTACGTAGAAACGTCTTTTGCAGGCGGCAAAGAAGTGCATTTGAAACTAGGAATCGTGGCATGCTTTATGTTGTACGATAATCAATATGACAACCCCACTCAAGTAATTCTTTCTAATAGAAAATGCATCTGAGAATTTGGGTAAAGATATAATGAGACGGGTCGATGGCTGCAAAACTGAAGGTCATACAGGCGTTCCGGGGAATCCAGCCCGATCAGGGAAAGCTACTCTCGCGTGTTCACGCTGGATAAGTTTACTTATATCTTCCTGTTAATGCAAAAGTCAATCTGCAGGAGTCTTTTAATGGGTGGAATCCAAAGATACACTGCCTCGGACAAGTAAGTAAGATTCTTCTGAGCAACGCATGCACACGTACGATTATCAGAGTAAAAGTGGGCTAGACCTCCGCTGGTGAAGAGTTTTTTTTTCCCGAAAGGTGATTACTCCTGTTTGCTTTTTGTGCGTATTTTTGGAGTAGAGAAGAGAGAGAGAGAGAACAGGAAGAGCACGATGCTTGCGTGCAATACAGGGACGCAGCCCAAGCTATCTTCGAGAACACTTGATTTAGTTTAGGATAAATTTATTCTGCCTATATCACTAGCCACTGTGTGACTGCTGACAGGCTCAAAAATAAGCTCTAAACACAATTGGACAAGTATGCCCAGTAAGGCGATCGGCGAGCGCTCTCCCTCCCCCATCCACTATTGTTAACACATCGAGTCGCAACCGAGAAAACAACGAGCTCGTGGCTCACTGGTTAGCGTTTGAGTTCTATCCAGCAAGTTGCGAGATCGAGCCTCAAGGGTAGCAAAACCTGGGGTTGGTATGGCTGGCTGGCGACGGCTAATAAACCGGAAATGACTTTTCAGTTTCCACTGTTTTTGTCAGGAATGTAATCAAACAGACTTATTGCCAGGATAAATCGGAAACCAAGATGTGATTCCACGGGATAG